TTTTTTTTTTTTTTTTTGCATTTCCCAAACACAAAAATACATTGTATAATTTAAGGACTACTACCTAGGTGTTCCCAGCATCCTGTTTGCCTGTTCTCTGGTACATCTGAATCTCATCAGCCGTTGCTTACATGGCTTCAGGTCACCTCCAGGGCCCTGACCCTGCTGCCTTTACTCCTGTGGTGTCAGCCCCTGTACTGCCCCAACACCTATGCTTCACCCTGTCCCAAGCACTGCCCTTCATTCCTTACTGCCCCCTAGACACAGCAACACAGGCTGTTGACTTTAATGAACATTCCCCAAAGTTTAACAGCTGTGGAAAGGGATCAACACAACTCAGGCACCTTCTTAAAACAGGAAATATGGGGCCACAGCTTCCCTGAAAAGTGACCCACTGCTCTCCTTGTAGGAGGGTTCCTTTCCTCACTGGCCGACCCCGACTCTGGCTGCAGCTTCTCCTCTGCTGAGACCCTCCCTATCCTCTTACAATGAGACTTTTTGTCCTCTTCCACCCTAAACTAGGGTCTACACCTGGCTCCACATATCCAGAAGCTCATGAACAGTCTGGTTTTCATACTCAACGACACAAATAACCAACAGAAACTTAGACATCGCTCTTCCCACAGAGCCTCTGACCAGAGCAAACTGCAGTCTTCCTCCAGTTACAGTACTGACTTGTCATCTACACCAACCCCTATCCTTCTGCCCTCCCCTTGCCCACACTGACAATCTGAGCAGCATGACCAGTGAAACTAAGGTGAGTTTGGGTATTAGAACACCTGGGTTGGGTGGTGCCTGTGGCTCAGTGGGTAGGGCGCCAGCCCCATATACTGAGGGTGGCGGATTCAAACCTGGCCCCGGCCAAACTGCAACAAAAAAATAGCCAGGCGTTGTGGCAGGCACCTGTAGTCCCAGCTACTTGGGAGGCTGAGGCAAGACAATCACCTAAGTCCAAGAGCTGGAGGTTGCTGTGAGCTGTGACGCCACGGCACTCTACCGAGGGTGACAAAGTGAGACTCTGTCTCTAAAAAAAAAAAAAAAAAAAAGACACCTGGGTTGAAATCCTGGCTTCCCTATGACTTGCCCTACAACCATGGACAAGTTTCTGTTGTGGATTTGAGCTGTCTGTCTCTGCGTTATCCATTTCCCCCTTTGCCAGTGTACAACCTCCCCATCCCCAACTGCAGTTCCAGCAGGAATCCCTGTGGTTCCCAGAAGCTAATAATAAGTGTATTATTTCATTTCCCTGGCCACAGGGTTTGCTTCAGGGAAAGTGACAGTTTCATATCCTGTGTCAACCACCTGTCAAGGTTATAGTGCCCAATTATTTGGTCAAACACTAGCCTAGAGGTTGCCATGAAGATATTTTTCAGATGTGATTAATACTTTAATCAGGAGACTTTAAATATGTGGGTGGGCCTCATCCAGTAAGTTGAAGGAAAGCTTTAAAAAATATAAAAAGAGGGGTGGTGCCTGTGGCTCAAAGGAGTATGGCGCTGGCCCCATATACTGGAGGTGGTGGGTTCAAACCCAGCCAAAAACTGCCAAAAAAACCAAAACAAAACAAAACAAAAAAACCTAAGGTTTTCTGAAGAAGTAATTCTCAAGCCTGCCTCATAAAAACTCTGAGTTTCCAGCTTGCAGGCCTGTCCTGGAGATTTTACACTTGACAGCTCCACAGTCACATGGGCAATTCCTTAGACTCTCTCCAACTCTGTCTCCTCCTCTCTCCCTTTCCCCCCTTTTCTCTCTTCCTCCCTCCTTCTGCCCTTCTTTCTCCCCCACTTCTCTCTCCCTCCATATAAATATATATTGATCTGTTTCTCTGGGGAACCGCTGACTAATACAGGCTCAGTAAATCTTGGAGATGATGATGATGAGGGGGTGAGGACCCTGTCTGAGGGAAAAGCTGACAGTACAGGGTGGCCATAAAGTTCCTGTACAATTTAACAAAAGGCGTGTCCCTGAAAAGGCTACAGGAAGATGGGTGTCAAGCTCAGTTTGATCCAGAGGTTTAAGAAGCCATCAGGGCTCTGAATCCATTTCCTTGCCTTCCTTGTATAGGGTGGCTATAAAGTTCACGTGTAATTTGGCCACCCTATACAAGGCAGGCAAGAAAATAGATTCAGAGCTCTGATGGCTTCTTAAACCTCTGGATCAAACTGAGCTTGACACCCATCTTCCTCTAGCCTTTTCAGGAACACGTACTCATGAATTCTTTATTACTTAAGCGTTATTTGGGTAGAATTCTTGTAAATAATTTCCATCCAGAGTGCTGAATTCCCTTTCTGTCTTGACAGTTGGGTAGTTTTCTTTTTTCAGACTCGCAAGTAGGGCAGCGCCTGTGGCTCAAAGGAGTAGGGCACTGGCCCCATACACTAGTTCAGACGCGGCCCCAGCCAAAAACTGCAAAAAAAAAAAAAAAAAAAAGAAGGTATTCAGACTCGCAAGTAAAAAAGGTTTGAAAATGGAATTCTCCTTCGATACCTCAAGGTGATTCGTCCTTCCTTGGCAGGGACCCATAGGACTTCTGGATAGGGCGAGCAAGCACTTCCCTAAAGGGGAAAGAGGAATCGCCCATAAACAGTGAAAAGATGATCAACTTAAGGGAAAGGCAAAAAACCACAGCAGGAGACCAGTATGATCGGCAACAAGATTCAAAATATTGACAGTGTGTGGAGCCCAGGAGACTCTTCCACACTGCTGCTGGTAGTGTAAATTGTAAAACGTACAAAACAACGCTCAAAACTTGGTTGCATGGCTCGGCGCCTGTCGCTCAAGTGGCTAAGGCGCCAGCCACATACACCTAGGGTGGTGGGTTCGAATCCAGCCTGGGCCCACCAAACAACAATGACGGCTGCAACCAGAAAATAGCCCGGCCTTGTGGCGGGCGCCTGTGGTCCCAGCTACTGGGGAGGCTGAGGCAGGAGACTTACTTGAGCCCGGGAGTTGGAGGTTGCTGTGAGCTGTGATGCCACAGCACTCTACCCAGGGGTAGACAGGGGGACACCTGGTGGGGGGCAGGGGGACAGCTTGAGGCTCTGTCTCAAAAAAACAAAACAAAACAAAACAAAACAAAAAAACTTGGCTTTATGGTGCGAACCTAAACTGCCCGCAAGCCGCACGACACCCGGGGACATCTCTCCCACTCGCGCTCCCTCCGGAAGCGGCCCGGGGGCATATCAGCGAGCGTGCTTTGCCCTGATTGGCTGCTCTGGCCGCCCGGGGCTTGGCGGGAGCTTCCGGCTAGGCGGACGCGCGTGCTCCGTCCTCATTGGCTGCTCCGAGCCGCGCGGGATTGGCGGGAGTTTGGGGAGTAGCTGGGGCGGGGAACTGGCGATGGCGCCGCCACAGCGAGTGAAGCGCCCGGGGCGTGTAGGGTGAGTACTGGGGGCCCCAGGGCTGACGGCGGCTTCCCCTTCCTCCTCCTCCTCTCCGCCTCGGTCTGCGCCTAGTTCGCGCTGCGGCTGCGGAACCTGCCTCTGAGGAGCCGGTCGGTCGGGGCCGCGCGCTCCGCGTCTGACTTGAAACCGGTTCAAGAAGCCACTCGAGTCGTGTGCGGGCTCCGCCCGAGTTTTGCTGTCTCCACATGAGACTGTCGGAAACCCGCCGCTGTCGTCCGCGGGGCGTGCTTCACGGTCGGGGACGGGGTGCCTGGTCTCTGCGGGGTCCCTGGTGCGCGAAGGGGGCACTGCGCTCACCGCATACGGGCTTGTCACTGGCGCGACAGAGCACCGTTCCTGGTGGCTATCGTCGCCCGTGTTTACTTTGAGCTGGTTGAACACGCGATTTTACCTTTTTACCCTGTTGCCCTGAGGAGGGGAACGAGGAAGGCAGCGGGGAGCTCCTGCCCCGGGGTCGTCGGGCTGAGCGGGGAGGGCGGGCGGCCCCTGCTCAGTAAAGGTCAGAAATTGCTGGTTGGTGAGGACTTTGGGACACAGGGTCACAGCGTTGAGTAGGAGGTTTCCACGTACCTAACGAGAGGGGTGTTATTTTATACGTTGGCGGTAGGATTTGACCTGTAAAAAGTGTAAATAAATTTGATTGGACGCAAGTGACAAGAAAGATAATTTGGAAAGAAAATGCTTGGAAAGGGTCACAAATTAGTGTTTTAAGATTTTTTCCCAGTTATTTAAGTACCTTTTCTTCTGTTTAACAGTGGAAGATATTCAAAGAACACCTTAGGAAGAACACTTCCCATGAAAGATGTAAGTTATCTTTTTGTTTTTTTAATGTAATTTCCTTATAATTGGTAATGCAAATGACATTTTGTGGGGACCTGAGTTTTGTAGATCGCATTTAGTAGGCTCAGTGTTTATTGTAGCGAAAAAGTGTATTCTTTTCCCTCTCTATTTTTTTTTTATATAAAGGAGAAAAATTACCTTTGTGAACATTTTAGAACCTTTTTCTCTGAGCCTAGGTTTTATTTTCATTTAGTTATTTGACATTATGTAAAAACTGTACAACTTGCTGTATTTTTCTTTTTTCACTTACAGCCATTTATCCGTGTTAATTTTCAACAACTATTTATGATTTCGTGAAATTCCATTTATACCACATTACAGTTTTACTTTTCTTCAGAACAGAGTCTTAGAATATATAAACGTGTGTTGAAGGCAGGTCCGCTTCTTTAACACTCTTGATAGCTAGTTCCAACTTCTTTCCAGAGGCTTGTCCAGTTGCCACTGGAATTCACACTGCCAGTCACATTGCGGGGCAGTCAAGAGTTCTTTCTGCTCTCTATTCTGCCCTGGCTTTCTCTGTATGTGGTTTTTTCCTCTACTGCATCCCCAACCCCAGCCTTCAGAGGATGATTCTTTTTCTTTCTGAACCTCTGCAAGATTTTGCCCAGCGCTCTGCTGCCACCTCAGCCTTAGCCTGTGGGGTGTTTGGATGTTCTCTGTACTCCTGCCCTGTTGCCTTATTCTTGACAGCTAAAGTCCAGTGTGCCTTGGGGGAGATTTTGCTAAGCTATTTATTCCTGTCCTCAGCCTGCTTTAGCTCGAAGTCTAGGGAATTTTCTTTTCGATACAGAGCCTCAAGCCTCAGCTTCCCAAATACTTGGGACTACAGGCACCTGCCACCATGCCAGGCTTTTCTTTCTTTCTTTCTTTTTTTTATTTTTTTTTTTTTTT